CCCAGGGTCACTTATACATATCTACGTGTATATGCGTGTTTAGATGTCTCAGCGGGACGTCAGTACATAGCAATACACAAACACAAAATAATTGAAAAATATAATACACGAAAAATAAATTAAATAAATACGCCAATTTGTGACAAGTATACAAAATATATATAAAACAATAGATGCGGCGAGCGATTAGCGCTCACAATATATAAGTAACAATAATTAATAAAAAATAACAGACTTAGGGACAATTAGTGCCCCCAAAATATAATAAAACACTATAAATCAATGGAGATTTGTACACACGATATAATATAGTAATATGATACAGTGGCGATATACTTMTAAAAAACACAGTGGCGATTCGCGCTCACTATTTCGAAGTATAAGTGGCGATTAGCGCACACAAAATACAATTTAAAACAATAAAAATTGTCCGATTAGCGCACGTAAGAGGCGTTGTTTTGTTAATGCTGGAGAAGAGACTAAAATTATTGTAATATTATACAGACGACGAGGACGGACGGGAAGACATAAAAATGCGGAGGCTGTGCTATTTTTCGTTGTGGTTTGGCGCGGCTGATTGCGCTTCCTCATGCGTAATCTTACTATTATATAATTCATATAACAATTAAAACGAAAATAAAACAATATACATAAAACAGYAATGTGCGTGTGAGTGTGTGTGTGTGCCGGTCGGTGGCGAGATATATAGTGATACGGCGGCGACATCCTCCCCCCGTTGAAAATTATAAAGTTTCAACTTCTTGTTCTAGTGGGAGCCGACACAATTTACCGACAGGTCTTTGCATTTCAGCTCCAGTCATGGTACGTAGGGTCACTACACAAATCGCCTCCTGGATGTACCTTGATTATTCTTCCCAACTTCCATTTGGTCGGTTGAGTACAATCTTCTTTTATTATTACCACGTCATTTATGGAGATTTCCCTTTTTGAGGTCAACCACCGTCCTCTGACTTGAAGCTGCGGCAAATACTCGCTATACCATCTTCTCCAAAACATCTGCATTAGGCCTTGTACAAATTTCCAACGCTTCAAGTGCGCTACTTCATTTTGTGGTATCTCGGGTTCGGCTGGCAATAGTAACGGACCACCCATTAGGAAGTGGGCTGGTGTCAGGGCATTTGGTTCACATGGGTCACTATTCAATGGAGTCATAGGTCGAGAATTGACACATGCTTCGACTTGGCATAGTAGAGTTTGTAGCTCTTCGAGATTGAGCCGGGTATCCTTGACGACACGAACTAAATGAGTTTTTACGCTCTTTACGGCGCTTTCCCATAAACCACCGAARTGAGGGGCGGATGGTGGATTGAAATGCCATTCTACTCCYTCCCGTGCCATGAGATCTTCAGTGTTCTTCATGTAGTTGGAYAACTCTTTTTGTGCTCCTACGAAGTTTGTTCCRTTATCACTAAATATCTTCTTACATTTCCCACGTCTGGACATGAARCGTCGCAATGATGCCATGAATGCGTCGCTTGTGAGCCAAACTACCGCCTCTAGATGAATTGCTCTGGTTGCAAAACATACAAATACTACTATCCAAGTTTTTATTGCTGTTATTCTACGTATGCCACTTCGGATGAGTAGGGGTCCTGCGAAATCAACACCTGTTATTGTGAATGGTCTTGAAAATTGCACGCGATTCTTAGGCAGGGGTGCCATTACTGGGTTCTCGAATTGTGGCCTTGAGCGAATACAGGTGAAGCAGCGAAATGTCACCGACCGTGCCATTACTCTACCTCGTAGTGGCCAATAACGTTGCCGGACAGCGGCCAAGAGAGCCTGTGGACCACAGTGATGCATGGCTCTATGTTGCTCCTCAAATATTAGTCTTGTTACTTTGTGCCTTGAAGGTAATACTATTGGGTGCTTTTGGCTCTCAGCAATATCGGATTTCCCAAGACCGCCCTCCAACCAAAATTACTCCATCTTCACTAATAAACGGACACAWGGTACTGTCTTTGTGCCTTGCGGTGGACCATCACACGACGAGTCGACGACGCTCCTCAAACTTAAATTTATGATAGTGTGTTCTCTACTTCTTTGCTGAATTAATCATAGACTTATTAAAGTATTAACTTAATAGTTGAATGTATTTAATAATTAATAGTATCAAGAAAACCTTATATACGATGCATGATAAAAAAAAAAGCTATAACCTACCATGGTATGATGTATGCTGGTATCTTCTAAGACCGTGTGTATGRTAGAACCATTTAATTTTAACCATTTAATCTATTCTGTGATAGAACGATCCATATATAATATACAGAGGATAGGCCATTAAACAAATATTCGCGAGCCGAGAGAGCACCCAAGAAACCAGGGTGGTAGTATTATGGTCCAATGTGTTTCAACGGTTATCACTGATCATTTTTTGTTTATCAATCATTCAAATTTTCGTGCCTTTTTTAATTTGAATATTCAAATTTAATTATTTAACTTTTGTCACGTACCTCCATAATATTTTTAATATTGTTCTATTCGACATTTTATTTAACATAATATACTTTCAATTTATTATAATGGTGCACATCACGGCTTTAGATAGAATGGTTGCGCGTCGACCGAAAAATAGTGGCAAGAGAAATTGCTTACATCAATTGACTACCTCTTAACGCGATCTAGCGGTCATTTATATTTATAAACTATAGTATATTATTATTATTTATAATGCTTATTTTCTGCTCGGAATGTACACCAAGATTTTTTTATTGGCCTAAATAATTTTTTAATTTTTAATTATCAAAATATTATAAAATAAACCTTGATTAGTTGATTATAATTTAGCTTAAACTGTTCTCATGACTAGCTACTTGGTACCTATTTAATTAATTAATTTAAATTGTATTATTGAGTTATAGCATTGATTTTATAATATATTTTATATTATAAAATCAATGGTTATAGATTGACTATATATTTTATATTATAAAGTCAATGGTTATAGATTGACTATATATTTCACAGTGTATATTATATTTAAATTATTTATCAAAATGTTTAATAATTACTATTGCACTTATAACTTATAACTTGTATTTCAGTGTATATTAAATATATTAGGAATTTATTTGCTCGATTTACCTACTATAAAAATGTGTTGTAAATATGTACCTAGTGTAATAGTAAGTATTAAAATTAAACAACGACAACATTGTAGTCCATAGAATAGTAAATGGTTGACAATGTGCAAAGAAGTAAAGTGAAAAAGCCAGTGAATAATTGAGAWTTGAGATACCCAAAAAAAAAATTACTGTTTTTAGCACGATTTAGTAAAACATATAGAAGTCAACGCTAGATGGCACTAACACTGTCAGTCAATTCATGTGACTACATTGCATAGTCACTTACATAGACCTATCAACTAATTAGTTTATAGGTTACTTAAGCTGCGGACCCACTAGGAGCGATTTGCGTTTTTGCGTTTGCGATAGCRTTTTAAGCGTTTTAGCGATTTTATCAAAACTATGAAAAATAGATAAGAATGGCCCCATCTARCGCATGATGCGTTTTGCGTTTTGGGTGAAACGCTTAATATCAAAATAGTTTGATATTCTGCGATTAATCGCGATCAAGATGTCATAAGTGACGGTTCTAGCAGAACAAATTGCATCCGCTGTGTTTCTCCAGGAACCTATCTGGAATCCGAAACACAAAGGCCACGGAAATAGGACTACTATCCAAAGATGTTGGTCCAATATCWCAAAAGATTTAAATGTTGAAAGTAAGTTAATTAAAATAGTAGTTATCTACTAATAAGTCCAACAAAATATATAAAAGAAAATTAAATATCTATTCAATTTAATCTATTCTGTGGTGACACCAGACAAACGATATGATTTGATCGGTCCTATACTTATAGACTGTACAATAGCTATTTTCGCACCGTCTTGTCCACAGACTTATTGTCATTCAATTTTATAATAGCTATTGTTACTCAAGAGTCTGGAACCAAAATTGTAGCTGTGTGAAATTTCGAATGAAAAAACTAACGATCTGAATGATTCTCCAGTTGCTAAATACTTTTGATTTGATTTATTATTAGAGTATGATTACTTAAGTATCTACCTAACATACATTCACAGTTTCACACATTTTTAAATGCATAATAAACCATTTTAAATAWCGACGTATTATTAATTATTATTACTAACAAGAATCAATAGAATATAATTTAAAAAGAATCATTTTTTACACACTGCAGTCAACATATTATATTTGTATTTATTTTGTTATCTTATCGCATTTGGAATATCGTACTAGCATATTAAATAGTAATAGTAATAGTAGCAGCAATATTATCTAGTAATAGTATTACGTAAACTATTTATAGACTTATTTTTAATATGTCTCGTTGAGGGATAACAAAATAGTAAAATACCAACGACAGCGATAGTGGGCGTTCGTGTTTTTATTTTTTTTTTGTAGTCTAACCGTGTATATTTTGTTTTGTGTCTAGATATTTTATAGAAAATAATAATATGTTTTTCATCTTATCTTAGTGTTTCATTTTTTTTTTTTTTTTTTTTTTTTTTGTAGTGCTGATTTGTTTGTTAATAATTTTGTAACAGTAAATTATCATAAAATAGATCGATAAGATACAAATAAAATTACACATCATTGTTTGTATATTTTAATATCGATGAACATAATATTTTAACATTTAAAATAAATAGTTTAAAATTTACACGAAAACATCAAGTTTACTTTCCCTAGTTTATTTGTATTTTAGAAATTAGAATTAATATAATATAACTTCAATATTAATATAAAAAGTAGGGTTAAAAATAATAAAAATCTTAATAATACTTATAATATTATACATAATGATTAAATAAATAATCTAATTTATATACAGTCCATTTGTCATGGAACTGATCCAGCCTCACTACTGAAATATTCGGTAAAAATTTCTCTGGAATCTCTTGCTGCCCTACCAAATCTATTATTTTGTCTTCCTCCAATATTACAAAATCCTGACGTATTTCCTTCCAAGTTATCAACTTGGCTGCTCTGCTGATCATATGTCAAAACTATATTGTGCAATACACATATGGCTTTTGTTACAACGATGGCATGTTCAACATWAGTTTCTATTGCCTTATTCAATATTCTCCATTTTGAGGATAAAATCCCAAATGCATTTTCAACAGTGCGCCTGGCTCGTGAAAGCCTATAGTTGAATGCCTTTTTTTTTTATCATTTATAAGTTGCTTTCCGGGATATACGGCCTTAGTATATTAGTTAAAAGTGGGAACGCTTCGACTCCTATAAATTTATATGGCGCTATAATGTTAGTATTGGGCAGTTCTATATAATCTGGTATAGAAAGTTCTTTTTTTTGTAATTTATTGAAAAATACTGAATTTTTCAAAACTCCACCATCACTCTCTCTACCATATGCTCCAATATCGACTAATATAAATTTGTAGTTGGCATCAGAAATTGCAAATAAATTTATAGATAAAAAATGTTTATAATTATAGTACATTGAGCCGGAATGTTCAGGTTGATCGATTCGTACATGTTTTCCATCGATACTGCCAAGACAATTGGGAAAGTTCCATTTATTATAAAAACTTTTGCATTTGTTTTCCACATTTCATTAGTGGGTACGGGTATATAAACTTTAGATAATATATTCCAAATTGCATTACACGTTTCTATCACGATTCTTGCAACACTTGTTTTACCCATGCGAAAAGTAAAAGCCAAGCTTCTAAAGCTGCACCCGGTTGATAAATATCTATAATAATAATAAAATATTAATATTAATAGCAAAAAATATAAAGCCGTATACTGCTGTATACATAATTTATATATAGTCATATAATAGTTTTATACATAATTATTTAAAATAAAAATTAAGTTCTAAGTTGGTCGAAATCTTATTAAATAATTTAGTTTAATTGAACATAACCGATTGCAACTTATGTTCAAAAAATATTTATACTAACTGAAATTTACTAAGGTACAATTTAGGTAATATATAATACCTAGTAATTTTATTRTAGTATATTAGTAGAAATAATTCTTACTATAAAATATGATATTCTGGAATTTATGCTATTTATATGAATACATTTCAGTTGATTTATTAAAAAATAAATGGAAAAATATGAGGGATTATTATCGAGTAGAACTTAAGAAGAATCCTCCTGGACGTTTGGGTGACGGTGCTGATGACGTTACGTCTTCCTCTTGGCCACTATTCACATGTTTAA